CCAGCCCAAGATTGATCATTTCCGAATTGTAATAACTGAGTTAACTCAGTAAATCAGTGAGCTTACAACCGAGTAAATGATAAAAACTGGATAGAAAGATATGCTCTTCACAAAGAACACATTCTGCATTCAGAAATTATAGGAAATTATTCAGAAATCCCTGGTGGTTTGAATATAGAATTTAGGAGCTAGATAATAATAATAATCCTTGCATTTGGTAAAGCGCCTTATCACGTCTTCAAGACGTCTCAAATCCCTTTGCAGGTTATACTGTAAAGTGAAACGACTGTATATTTTCCGACGTGAAAAGCGCTATATCAAATGCAAGGATTATTATTATTATTATTATTTTGTGGGCGAAACCTCCTGATTCCTCCACATTTTCCACACAACAGCTTTACCAGAGCTTCGGGTATGTGGTAGATATTTAACTTTGTTTATCTCCTGTGATTCTCTTTCATCCGCATTAAGATGTTGGTTAAGACTTTGATCCAACGCGAGTCAGAATCCTAACCATTTACAGAACCTCCGCTTCACTCCTGGTAAATATTAATGCGGTTTCTGATCCTATCAGCTTTTTGACTATGTCCAGTGTGGCCGAGGGAATTGAGGCTTTGAAGTTTCGACATTAACTTTATGTGCACGAATTAATGAATGGCAGTAACTGCGAGGTTCCCCCGTGTAACTTTTACAATGACACCAATAAATAATGTCAACTCAACAGCACTGTATTTTTCCTGCTGTTTAGCTGAGAATCCGTTGGATGTTTTTTCCGAATGACACACACAGAGCCCCGGCTAGACACAGTAAGGTGATCCATTTTCATTCATTCGAATTAAAGTTTTATTTGGCTGCGCTATGTGCCAAGACTCACATTTTGCATAAAAATCTTATCATCACCCATGCAACTTTCTTCCATAATCTAAAGCCACAGCACAAAGCTTAACGGCCTTTGCTGTTCAAGGGAGGAAACATCAACACAGCATAGCTACTGCCGACAAAAAAATTGCATTTGCTATTGGTGGCCAGACCTGTAGTTACCGGCATTAAAACAATTTGTCAAGCACTTTTTTGAGGTCTTTCTGACACGTATGGAAACCCATCACAGTAATTAAGCCTTCAAATTAAACTCTTTGGCTCCCGCATACATGTAAATGAAAGTGTGCATTCTCTCCCCAGAGGGATGCATATTCGGAAAGAGAAGAGAGTTCCTCTTGATGTCCTGACCAACAATCCCCCAGATAAAATTGGTCACTCACTCCACAGATGTTTGTGGGACTTGCTGTGTGCAAACTGGCTGCCTTGTTCCCCCCGCAAAATACAATCAATCCACTTTGCAGTGTATCCTGTGAAGTGCTTTGTGATGTCTCGACAATGCGATAAGCTGTCATATCAAATGCAAGGATTACTATTGATATTATTATCGTGCTATCTGTAATTCTTTAATGCCACTGAGCTTTATCCTCCCAGCTCTTTAATAACATTAGAAGAAGGCATTGGCATTTTAAGGTAGTTAGTAGAGCTCTGTGCTAGTCCTTAGATGAGCAAGGGCAAAACTTGACTTAGCCCCAGGCCAGAGAGAGAGAGAGAGTGCAGTGAGAATCTAAATCTGTCTTTACCTCTCTGGATCACTCCCTGTGGTATATATGAGGCTTTAGTTTTCTATGGACCCATAATAACTGCAGGCCACACAAAAACGATGGCATGTGTAATTGTTTATCAGCTCGCTGTGCAACATGAAATCCTATTGTCAAACTGAGTGCCAGACCAGCTGAGAAACACCACAAAGGAGACATTGATATTCACTGCACAAACTAGCATGTCCACTGTCTTAGACAGCTCCACAGGATGCCCAGCTATTGACTTTAAATGAAACTCACCGTAAGTAATGGAACGTTAAAACCCAGGGGCAGAGGCCAGACAGGGAAACATGTCTCTGCCAATGCTCCTGGAGATTGAATTTCAATGAACAAAACAAATAAGTTGGTGATCTTTGGTCGTGTGTGTAGATATGTGTCTTCCTCTGTTGGCTATCTTTCTGTTTGCTTAGTCAAGTGTACTTTTGAGCCTGGCTTTGTTCCATTCCAGGTCTCTCACTTTGACTTGATAAGCTCTTCCTTCAAAGCTTTGAGTGGCTTATTTAGTTTTTTTTGCATTTCACAAAGGACCTTTATTGTGCCGGACGGAGTATTGGAATCGTTTTACAGAAATGATTGATACATTCTCCTTTATACAGTAATAATTATTCTCATTAAAATATCCATAGCTATCTTTCAACAACCTGTGATTAGGACAAATCCTGTCCGATGCTGAGCGCAACCACAAATGGTTTAGGACTTCTCCTTTGATCAAAAAACCATGGCGTTAAAACAGCTCAGGAAGAGAGTCCTTGAAAATTGACTGAATCTTGAGATAAAACAAACTTAATTATAGTTTAGGTCATGAAGACGATCTTTCATGCTAAATTAAATGGTGTTTACACTACATTTTGGCTGCACAATATCCAGTCAATTCACTTTCTAGTATATTCTGTGAAGCGCTTTGAGACATCTCAAAGACATAATAAGGCCCAATATCAAATGCAAGGAATATTATTGTGTACAGTATCTCTCTGTATGCATCTGGCTGCACAGATTTAACTTTAATTTCCGTCTGATCTCATAATAATAATAACAATCACAATCCTTGCTTTCGATATATCGGCTTATCACATAGAACGTAAGAATTAGGAGCAGGAGTAGGCCATTCGGCCCCTATAGCCTAACCCGCCATTCAATAAGATCATGGCTGATCTATTCTAACTCCACCTCCCCGCCTTATCCCCATATCCCTAATCCCTTTATCTGCAAGAAATCTATCAACCTCAGTCTCAGTCTATATCACGTCTTCAAGACGTCTCAAAGCGCTTCACAGAATATATACTGTAAACTGAATTGACCATACTTTTTGAGGGAGAAATGCGGCAGCCAATTGCGCACAGCAGCGTCACACGAAAAGTCGTGGATTGAGTGACCAAATTCGAGTTAGACTACCTTCCAGAATACCATTCTATTGTCCTCTCATCACAGCATCAAGCTTTTTTTTTAAAAAAATGAATTCCAGTGTCCTGGCCTCAACCACCCTTTCTGGTAACCCATTCCAGTCATTAAATACCTTAAGGTATAGAAAATCCTCCCGGTGTCGGTTCTGAAATCGCCCTTTGCAACCCTCAACCCTGTGTCTTCTTGTTCCTCTGTCTCTTTGCAGCCCAATGTATTAATGTATTGATATTTTAGTGATCAGGACAAAATCCGGGCTCCTGCTAGCCTTTCCCTGTCATTGGGACATGTCCACCTAATGTTTATCCAACATGTCAGCGCTTTTACATTCTGCTCCTTGTGTATTTTTTCTGCAGTAAACCGTTGATGGTCACCATGAGGAGATTGAGTTGTGCCATCAGATATATGTGAAAAATATAGAGATGTATTTAGATTCAAGGCATCAATGATTATTCAAGCTGAACATCCAGCAACAGACAGGAAATGGAGTTAACAGTTGCAGCGATTCACAAAGTATTCCTTTGACCACTGCGACTACACAAATGCCATTTCCTCCAATCCTAAAAGGAAGTCTCATTTTTTTGTTGCCACACTTAGGCAGCCGCTGTCAAAACAGCATGTATTTAAAGCGCGTTTTCCTGTGTAAGATTAGGCCATGTCCATTAGATATACAAACATAGCTGTTTGCTACGTATAGGAAAATAAACCTTGCGGTGACTGGGAATTGGGTTACAGTGACCTGCATTGCGTAGCCAGTGAAAGTGGACAGTTTGCTCACATCCAAAGTTCCAACTAACACACGTATCTGTGTATGCAGTCTGTTATCTGCTGCTGTAATTATACTGCAGGCACGAATTTGACTGACGTTACACTGTCTGGTCTGCATCACTCTCACCCTGAACTGAGAACAAGGAACTTAAGCGCATAAACTGAGTTCCAGTGCTCAGACCCGAATTTTGCAACCTTATTCAAAAGGGCTCGTGTGTCCCTCCGTCTCTTCGGTAACGTATAAAACTTGAGAACTTTCAAAGTTGCACTTGTAAGTTTAAAAATTGGCTTTGCACGTGTTGCAGTTACACCAAAAGCGTCGCAAAGCCAAGGTCACGTGAGACGAGCTCCAGCTTCGTCAGGTAGCATTGCTTCACAAGAAACCAAGCGCTCCGGGACGCTACCCCATGTGAAGGGCGCTATACAAATGCAAGTTGTCGTTGTTGTTGTGAAGTTGTGGAAGCTATGGAAGCAATATCAAAGGGATGTTTGAAAGACAGACAGACAGACAGATCCCTAGATCACAGCAGTATCCAGAAGTATGGCAAAAGTGAGGCACAGTGGGATTAACAAATCTGCCAAAATCTGATCAACAAATCCAAAGGGGTTGAGTGGTCTAATCATGTGTTCCTGAGGTCTCTCACTGCTCGCTTGGTCGCTCTTAAACCTGTAGTTAAATTGCAGAGTTAGCATCTATACAATGCAGGTTAGTGCGATGCTATTGCAATCCATTTATTGCTGATGAGTGTTTCCAAGCGCAGTGGTTTGTCACTCATTTGAGCAGTTTTGTATGATTTTATGTCTTGCTTGAAATAGCGTGATCTGATCAATTCTTCACCGGGCTGGGATTTACATCTCTGCTTCTGTGTTTGTTCACATTGAATAGTCCTACATTCAGCATTGACGACAGTGACACAATATCTATTTCGAGCGGGAGCAGACCATTAATCTATCCCGTTATTCGACATCCCTAAAGGTTCCTCAACACACATCTCTTTCAGGACTTCACAGCCTCACAAATAGCTGAAGCATAAAAACAACACCACGACAAATGACGTATCTATGTCGTCTTTCATGTCAGGAGGACGTCCCATTGGTCGGCAAGTTATCTCGTTAAAATCACCACGAGGGAGAGAGAATCCACAAGAAAACAAATGTCCTTCACAGAAACCAAAAAAAGAGACTTTTAAACAATTGGATATTTACAGTTTTATTTGTGCACAACTGAACAGATGTATACATGGTATACATAACAGCCAATAAACGGTATTTATGCCTTTTGCAGTTTAAAATTGCAAAAGGGAAAAATAAATCCCAATAACATATGAACCATCTTTTAGATGGAAGAACAGTGACTGCATTCCCTCCCAACCAGAACACAAGTGAAAGGGTTACAGGGTTTTGGCATATATGATGTGTTTTTAATGAGAGAACAAGGTAGAGAGGAAAGGATGAACTATCACGGTACAATGGGAGAATGAAACAAAGCCCGTCTTGTGCGATGTATACGTGGCCTGGTGATTTCATGAACCAAATCACAACTTGCCAAATCGAAACCCATCACCGTACAATGGGCGGACAAAAAAAAAAAAATCAATCAATGTTGCGGATTCACCGGTTCTAAATTTATGTGTAAAATTTGTTTTGCTTTTTTAAAAAAAAAATCTCCTCCCCCCACCGCCCCCCACCGCCCCCACCCCACCCCGAGGCAAAAAAAAAACAACACAAAATCACAAAATGTGTACGGGCAAGGTTATAAAATGTGCAAATGTCGACAAAACCAAAAGCACCATCGTTACAATCCTACCGTTAAGAAATATTAAAATAGAATTAAGTTGTCAGTTTTTTGGCATTGCATTGTTGGTGGTTTGGAACCCGGTAGATACAATAAATAAAGTTGCCAGCATACAGAGCATGATTTCTGCACCATGGAATATTGTCCCTCTCATAATAAATTATTACATACAAAAACACGGTAAGTTTACGAAGAGATTCTTGGAAGAGATCATTTTTACAAACAGGCTCAGCTACTGACACTGTAATTAATGCTTTAATTTCTTTTAACATCCAAATGGCATTTGCTATTTATACAGGACTGAACCACGAGCTGAATGGCCCGCTTTTGTTTCTTAAACACAGATTTGTTAGAACATAACACTTTGTAACTGATGACACCATTTGAACTTGACTAAACTTCACTCAACATGTCAACATTATAGTAATATTGGTAAAATATTCTAATACTTGTTTTTTTTTTGCCACAAAGAACAGGTTATCTACCTAATATATTTCATAAAGTAGCACGTTAAGATTGCCCGTTTACAAGTAAACCAACTTCCACATCTCTGAAGTTAAGGATGTCATTTCACTTTATCGTTGACTTATCAATATATCATATTAGGGCATACATCCCTGCATAATATTGCAGCCATATGTACACTGGTCCCTGTATCATTTTGTGCTCAGTGGTGAATAAAACACCATGAAGTCGGAGAAATCTTCAACTGCTTCCAACCTTGTGACAAACTGCACTCTGTAAGTGCTCCCCATCAAGCAGTCACTCACTACTTACATTAAAACATGGTCAATGAAGCCACCATCATAGTTTTAATACCGACTGTTGACAAATACCAGAGGTAGACTTCTGCATGTCATTGTCAGATTGTTTAGTTGCAACCACAATCATCCATCATCGGTCTCTATTAATCCCAATATGAAGTAGCTCTTCTCGTTCAATATTCCTTTTGCGTTTTAGTTGTAACAGTCATGACCGTCACTAAAGGTTGGTGGACACCTCCGCAGACTTCCATCGGTCACCTGCCATTTCTAAAGATGACTCTTATCTGAATTAAGTCCTACTCGGTCCTCACACGGCTCTCAACAGGGTCTCACAGTACAAAAGTCCAGCTCTTGTGGCTTCTTCCTTATACTGCAGTGTTCCCTGGGCAAAGCATGTCCTGTGCCGGCTCTGCATTTGATGATGCGTCTCTTGAATCCTTTTCCACAACTCTTCGAGCAAGGTGACCAGTCACCGATCACCCAGATCGGGCAGGGGTTTCCGCACTGCCTGATGACCTCTGGCTTCTGGGTGCTGTCACAATCAAACGCGATCTGCCCGTGATGGTCTTGACACTCCACGGGTCTGTGCTGTAGTCCATTCCCGCAAGTAACGGAACAATCAGACCACGTTCTCACCACCCATTTATAACTGGGTCGTTTATAGTCTGGTTGCCTCACAGCAATTTTATTCAGTTTGCTCAAACTGTCGTTGTTCAGCATTGTTCCCTTTGAGTCTTTTTTATTCAAACTGTGGGACGACTTGTCCTGCTTCTCCTTGTTGTCCTTATTTAGGTAGAAGGAATAGCGAACGCGAGGGGGAGTCATTTTACCAACTGACAGGACCTCGATGACCAATGGCTCCTGAATGGGCCTAAAAGCTTGAAGGCTTTCAACAGAATTTGCCGTCCCACTGTACCTCAACAAGCTTCCCTTTACGACAATGTCCCGCTCTACTGCAGAAACTATGTAGTGGCCATTCAGTAGGTACTTGTCGTGCTCATTCTTAACAGCCAAATAGTTGTCATCGTTGGTCATGCCTCTGTAGCCTCTTTGCTTGATGTCGATACTCGTGGCTCCAACCGGTATTGTCACAATATAATTGTATCCGTATCTGTAGGCAGAACACAGTTATCGGTTGGAAAAAGAACTTAATATTGCATATATGTGAACAGTTTTTTAAAGAAAATAACGCTTCTCAATACTGGGCTTCCTGTTAATTTCAATTAGAAGTAGCGCTTTATAATAATGATGATAATAATCCTTGCATTTAATGTAGTCCCTTATCACCTTCTTCGAGACGTCTCAAAGCACTTCACGTGAATATACGGTAAGGTTAATTGACTGTGTATTTTTGTGGGCGAAACGCGGCAGCCAATTGCACACAGCAGCGTCCCACAAACAGTTGTGGATTGAGTTTCCATGCAAAGAAATGCATGTGCTATTTATTTTCTCCCCATTGCCCTCAGTCTCCTCAGGATATACATGACCTGTAGCCAAAGACTAGTGATCTGAAGCCAGGCCACTGCCAAAACCAGTGCAAGCGAACTGCCAAAGGCACTTGAGGACAATCCAGAAATGACTCTCTCTCTCTCTCTCGCTCTTTGAATTTTCCTTCCACTACAACACTGAGGCAGCAGAACAAGAGGTTGTGTGTTCAGAAGTTTGCAAAGGGCAATGTCAGGACTGACATCAGGAAGCATTTCTTTACACAGAGAGAAACTGATGACTAATTGGGAGAAAGTCCATCTGGGTCTAGAGTTGCTCCGACGCAAGTAGTATTACAGTGTCGCAGAATTCGACACATCCTGAAAAATAGGCTCAATTTTGCCCACAAAATACTCTGTCGATTCACTTTACAGTATATTCTGTGAAGCGCTTTGAGACGTCTCAAAGACTGGATAAAGTGCTGTATCAAATGCAAGGATTATTATCATTATCATTTTCAAATAGGGTTCCTCCACTCTCTTTCAACAACTGTAGAAAATTGACTTTAAAGTTAAGACTGAAATCACCAATTTGCAATTGGAATCAGCGGAAACACAACATACTTGGGTTTTGTGAATAATCCGGAGACTTTCTTGCAGCTCTTGTTATCCCCTCCGCACACTCCGCACTTGTCAAACTTTTTCTTGGAGCCAAGCTTCCCATCGCATCCGGCTTTGATGCACTGTCCTTGGACACATACGGCAGATGTGTCTGGCATGCATGGAGTTCCGTCAACCACCTGGACGTGTGAGAGACACAGATCGTGAATTGTGGCAAAATACATTAACGACAATAATCCTTGCATTTGAAATTGCAGCTTTCAAGTTGAGAGGACATCTCAAAGGGGCTTCACAGGATTTATTATAAAGTGTAATGACTTGTGTATTTTTTAGGTGACAACCGGATGTTCCGATATGCTACCTTGCATGAAGAGCGCTATATAAATGCAAGTTGCTGTTGTTCTTGTTGTAGACTTCTGAACTTTCATCCCTGGCACATTAGACCCAACTTTTAAAGGTTATTGTTGACAGTATATCATGCTTCAGTCAGCCTCTGAGCTTTTTTATAAAATAGTTCTGACTCTTGATTTACTCTATCAATGTAGAATAACAATCAGAACATGTCTTATTTCATCTCATCTAAAGCCCTTCCTCTTCGACAGTGCCTTTGGCCACCCATCCACCCCCACCCCTCCTCCCTGCCCTCCACCCCTCCTGACCCCAACTCCCAGCTCGGGTCCAAAAAACACCCCGACTGTCCAGCGCAAACGTGACGTCTTTTCGACGTGAACTGTAATTTGTTGTTGTGGTTGTATGTAGAGTACAAAGGGGAAGGAGCCGTAGAGAAAGCCGAAATTCAAAGTAAACTGCTGACTATGTTAAATCAATACAGTAACATTGAAACTCCTAACAAGTTGGGTAAAGAGGTCCTTTTTTTTTCACAGTTTACACATCTGCCAGCCACATGTGCACAGGGTTTGGTCAGTTTTTACGCCAGACTGTCAGGCTGCCCAGGAGGAAAACAGAATGACACACTCTGTCAACCGTAGTAAGTATGATCCTGTCAACTGGTCCAATGCGTGGCCGTGGGCCCATTCATCTCCCTCTCAGCCAACAGAAGGATTCCAAAAATTAACTGGAAAGAATCTTTGCTTGAAGGGAGTAAGAGAAAGCAGCAAAAAAATACTTTGAGAAACAACTACAGATATAGGAATTGTGAATGTATTGAAGATGAGACCATAGCATAGGAGTGGGGCTGATTAGGTACTCTTCCAAAGACCCGGCACAGGTATAATGGACCGAATGGCCTCCTTCTGTGTTGTATTATTTTATTATCCTTTGACTTAGGAACTATCTAAGGACTGAAATTTCGTCTTGTCGTACATATATAGCTTTTAAGATCATTTTGCCTTAAAGTTTATAAGAATTTTCTTTTAATCAATAAAAATGTTTTGGAAGCCAGTTCTTTTAAGAGCTGCAGGAAAATGGCTTCCGAAATTAAACAGGTTTTTAAAGCTTTTACACAATCCTACAATGTGTCTTAAACTGTAAGACAAAATGATCTTACGGGGGAAGACTATGTGAAATTTCGAGCCTATACAATATCCATAAACCCCTAGTTACAAATGTCATGGCTTTGATACAATTAATAATAATAATAATAATCCTTGCATTTGATGTAGAACCTTATCAAGTCTCCGAGACGTCACAAAGCACTTCACTTAATGTACTGTAGAGAGAATTGGCTGAATATTTTGTGGGTGAAACGTTACAGCCAATTGTGCTCAATTGAAAACAAAACGTGAACGCGTGTGGTTTGCTTACCTTGGGCGCAAGTACATAGAAATATCCAGTGCCATTTGCTCGGCATACAAGTTTGCATTTGTCCTTGGGTGACACCCCAGAATACTTGGGCACCCAGACAACAGATGGGGCGAGCCTGTTTGTATTGATGTTATATCCATTGAAGGCTTCACACTGCTCCTCTCTGAAACTCTTACCTGGGAATCATGAATAAGACAAGACAATCAGAAGGGGTTCAATACAAAATGAACCGATTGTAAAGACGTCACAGAAATATACCTATTTTTAAGCAATATTTATTTGATTAAAAATATTGAAGCAATTTAGCAATCGGATGGGGAATTCAGGAAGCGTATGGGTTTGGAAACACAAGTCACAGAATAAAAAGAAAAATTCAAATTTTCGGGATTTGGATTATTAGCGAGGCTGAGTGACGCAGGACAATGCAACACATTTAGATGATATTTTAACTTACATTTTGCGAGAGTGTACAGATTAAAACTCGACCAATGTCTAAGCAATGAAAACAGGTATAACAAATAAATGTTTCCATTTAGTCTATGGCCAATTTCAATCCAGGATCAATATGGGTATCGTAACTCGACTTTGTAGGTATAAAGATCACTATTGGCAGGAATATACTTAATATTTTGACAATAAGGTCTAACCTGCAGTAGTCGCGACAGGATTGGGAAACACTAAATTGACTCTGAGTTGGACTGAGAAATCGGATTGGTGTTGAGGAGGTTAGAGATTTCCGAAGGTCACAGAATTGCAGGTCAAGGCCAGAGAGTGAAAGGGGCCGATGTCTGCAGGCAGCGTCTCACTCTTGAGGTTTTTTTGTGCACTTTGGCAACTATCAGGACACGATTAGATCTTCCGACTCCTTCAGCAAATATCAGAGGTCGGAGCCCGGAGCAGTAGCACGTTTGTTTCAGTGGGTGGAACGATATCTTCACGGACTGAAACTACCAAATCAACAAAGGTGCTCTCCAAAGCAACCATGCAACCCACTACTTATTTTGGATTTATCCAATGAAGAAAAACAAGCATTAAAAGTACCCAAAGTCTGAAAGGCCCTCAGTGTGTTACAAAATGGCCAACGGTGTGTAAACACCGAAAGTCACACATTTGGCAACAGCTATCAAAAATGTCACACCACTTGAGTTTCTCAATAGGTGTGTGTGCTCGCCTAACTCGCGCGTGTGCTTTTTCCAGTCTTCTTATCCTCTTATAAAATAATTGTACAACAAGCCATCCCCATCCGAACAGAAAGGCTATCAGTGTGCAAGAAGCGTAAATTTTGGACAAAATAACATAATCATAAACCTTGCATTTGAGATAGCATCTTATCACGTCTTCGAGACATCTCAAAGCGCTTCACAGAATACATTGTAAAGTGGATTGACTGTATACTTTGTGGGTGAAACGCAGCAGCCAATTGAGCACAGCAGCGTCCCACAAACGATCGTGGATTAAGTGACCACATTTATTTTTTTGAAGGAATTATTATCCCCGGAAAAGCGATCCGCCAATCAACTAACAACCGGGTGCTTACTTACTGTTAGGTAAACAGAGGCGTGTGTATGTGGAGAAAGGAAAGCCCAAGGTTTCGCTCTGCCCGGGAATCGAACCCAGGTCCTCTTGTTTGCGAGGCGAGTGCTCTAACCACTGAGCGACAGAAACACACGAGAATAGATCATAAACAAACTTCTTACCGTTCTCGGGGCACGGATCCAAATTGCAGGATCGGTACTTGACCCGGATTCCCTCACAGTACCTCCCACCATTGGCAGGGGTTGGGTTGTTACACTCCCTCTCGGCAAGTTGTACTCCCCCACCACATGTGCGTGAACATACTCCATACTGGCCCCATCTTCCCCATCTCCCATCGACCTGCAAACAGAAATCATCAACGATAGGAATTTAAACACCTTCAGCAGCCTTGAACCATAAACAGTGGATCCTCGTGTCAAAACTGCTAGGTAACCAATCTTGACACCGTCATTAATATTTAATGAAAAACAGATGTAGAATCATTTTAGAAGAAAGTTTGAGAGTTGATTTGACTGAGATTTCTGTCGCCATCAAGAGCATCCAGCGATCAATCACTGCATGGGTTTACACTCTAGATGTCTTCTACAATTACTGAGGTAACCTAAAACTACCGTATGATACTCATTCCAATTTCCTTTCATCGGTTGCAATTTCAAGAGTCAATGATCATAAACAATTGTACGGCTTCGAAAGCAATATTATAGTTTCCACGCTTGTGGAGAATTCTTTTCTTTTGATTTGTGGGCATAATTTTATGGCCAGTTTATTGTTCCCAGTGTGTCTAACAAGATTTTAAAGATCGTCAGATTGTAATACTGGAACACAGTCATGTGAGAGATTATTATTATTATCAAATGCAACGATTATTAACTTTCTCAGCCTCCATATGCTTTCTAAAAAGGTTGCCAACATTTTCACTACAATGTACTGTTTATAGCAAACAAAACATTGGGGATAATTATTTCTGTACATAACAGTGCTGTCCTGCTCATGATGAAGACATAAGAACATAAGAATTTGCGAGATGAAGGAAGACAAGGCCCATCCTAGTTTACCTTCCACCATCCTGGCAGTCACTTGACATGTCATGTCCCAAACTCTATAGTGTACCCCGAGATATTATTTCCTAAATCTATGCCATTTGTTCTTGAAAGAATCAACACTTTCTCAGTCTCTCTCTCTCAGTCTCTCTCTCTCATAGTTTCTCTCTCTCACACACAGTTTCTCTCTCTCTTCACACTCTCTCTATGAGAACATAAGAATTTTGAAGAATATTTACTGCAATGTTGCTTAAATGATCATTGCATCCCTGTGCTGTTTTTATTTGTAGCCTTTGAATAACAGCATCAGGTAAATTAAGTTTAATTTTTATTTATGTCTGCTGATATTGTAACAAGGAACAAAAGCTTCTTGTAGGCACAAATAGATATTGAGTCAGGTGCAAAGGAATTTGCAAAGGACTCACTGGATACCTCTGTGACTGATGGATTTTTGTGGTTAAACAGTCAGAAGCTATATAAGATTACTGGTTCTATAGCCATTAAATTTAATTGGTATCCTTTATGGGTTATAAACTCCCAACAGCTTGACTGCGGGTATGACGTCAATGGCTTAGCATTAGGACCATGTATAAGAACAACTGCCAACTGCAATCAATGCCAAGATCACATATAATACGATTTCAGTCTTCACAAGATGCTCTTAAGATGCTCAGATACAACTCATGCAATGCGAGGTCCAATTTTTCATGCATTGTTTATATACAACAATAACAAGAGCGATTTGCATTTGTACAGCGCCTTCCGCATCAAAACACTTCACGAAGCCAACTGTCTGCATTGGCAATTTATTGACGAGCATTTCTTGCTTTTAACACTATGGACTGTACATTGGTGAGAAATGAAGATATTCAAACTGCTTCATATGTGCAGAATCGCTAGTATTAGACCTTACTGTAAGTCAGGAGTATTACCTCATGTGTATTAGAGAAGGAAGTTTCTGCAGAGAAAGGAGTTTCTCCCAGTGTCCTTGCCAACAATTCCCCTAATAAAATTAAGTTATTCACTGCATGGCTGTTTGTAGGACATTGCCATGTACAAATTGGCAAGTTACATTCACCCACAACACACTTTATAGTATTACATTGTGTGTCGCATTTTGAGAAGTTCTCCCGAAGTGAAAAGCACTATATTATACCAAATGTAATGATGGGGATGATATTATTATTATTACTACTATTATTACCTTGTACTTGGTCACATCGTGCCTCTCCACACAAATGCCTTTCAAGCAGAATTTTCCATCTCCACAACTCGTCCCGTCTGCCCATGGGAAGTGTCTGGTTTGACACACGAGCTGCCCACGAGCTTTTCCAGTGCACCACAGTTTGAGGCAAGACTGCATGTAGGGACACGGCTTGGAGTTGGTACCGAATGCGAGCACACACTGTCTGTTCAAGTTGTAGTTTTCGCCCGGCAAACTATCTGGCAAAGTAATTGGCTTTGTTGGCTCATCCAGGAGGCAATCACCTGTGGATAAGAGAGAACAGTTATTTTCCAAATGTATGTATCTTAGCTCTTTAGCAAAGTGTAGTTACCTCCTTCAAAGATTCTGTATAATAATCCTTGCATTTGATATTCTGCCTTATCACATCTTCGGAACATCTAAAAGCGCTTCACAGAAGACACTGTTAAGTGAATTGTGTATATTTTGTGTATGAATTGTGAAGTGGCTATGATACATATACACTATATATAACGTCGATAGGGTTGTCAATATGTACAGGGTTGTCTATTTCTGGACACCTGCAAATAAATATTTTGATTACCAAACTCTAGTACTCTCTCCGTAGTCTCCCTCCAAACAGAATCATGGCTCGTTTACTCTGTTCCAAAAGGCTGTTAATATACGCTACATATCGCTCTCTAAATGACGCAATTTCTTACTTTAAAAACAGCTGAAGGTGTGAGGCTCTTTCAATGTATTGGACAAACAGCCCTAGCGTTAAAAAAACACAGTTAAAACAGCCCATAGGAATTCTTTTCCGAGTAAATTACCACTGCTCCCTCCACATCAAGTGAGCTATCTAAAGTCCCACTTGCTTTGTAGTGTATTGCTTGTAGTGACAGAATTTTGACCCCTGTGTCTGTCCGAATAAAACAACGCCTCCAAATTCTGCTTTACTTCAGTCTTCCTAACTGCACTTTGCTGAACAAATATTAGGGTGAACGGCAAGAAGGTTAAAGGGTTCTGTAATATGATCCTCAGATCTATATATGGTCATGCTTCTTGCTGTTTTCATCTCAAAACTGCATTTTGTGTCACTGCTGAATTCCTTTTACATTTAAAATAATGCAAAGAACTGAGTCGAGGGGCCCCTGTTATTTACGTTGACTCCATAAAAGCTTGGAAGATAGACAAAGCTTTGCATGGAAAATATACAATTGCATGCTGCATTGAATCCTTAACACACTTTGATAGGTTTCGAAGACATGATAAGGCACTGCATCAAACATAAGGATTGTTATTATTTATCATTATGCATTCTTCAAATAAAGCCTGAACTTTATTACTATCTGAAAGTTTATTTAGTTATTGCTGTCAGATCATGTTAAATTGGATCACGCAAACAAGTTGAAGTAACCTATTGGGTATTTTAACTCTGGCACTCATGCACTTTAGGAAAGTAATACTATATGTTAATGTTGAACAACTGCCAAGGTTAAAATGATTTAATAAAAATACTTAACTTCTCTTCCAAAACATCATAACAACAAAAAGCCTCCTGTTACAAACTCCCTCTCTATGCATTTAGAAGCTTGGGGAGTGCAATAAACTTACTCAGCAAAGATAAACATTGCCAACATTTATGCTCCGATTTTGCTGCTCATAATTGTGACTCAGAGATTTTCTTTTCTTTGATTATTCTTGGCAAGACGCAAACTGAGGTTCTTAAAGTTTCAGCGCATCTGTTTTCCACCCACTCTATCCTACACATTTAAGCAGGCTTGATCTGTATTGCCACTTGATACGTGAAGAATCCTTTGTGAAAATTCTGGCTGACACTGTCATAAGGCCGTTGGTAGACAACTTATAACGGGGTGAAATCAATAGCATTTTAGCATCCGCGTGCAAAATGGGGACCCCCTTGAAAACACACTGACGTGCTTGCAAACTTGATACCGTACTTCAGATCCCTTTCTAATAAAATAATGATAATAATAATCCTTGCATTTGATATAGCACCTTATCACGTCTTCAAGACGTCTCAAAGCGCTTCGCAGAATATACTGCAAAGTGTGTATTTTGGGGGCGAAATGCGTTTAATGCGCTGGTGGGTTTTGAAGCACGATGATGGAGTTGGTAATGGTGGGATATCGAGGTAAGAAAATGTTAGGGTCCACAACTCGATCGTGTCACACCAGAGCTATAACGCGGTGTAACAAAGTGCATTATAACACGGTTCTTCCATATCCTGAAGTTATGGGGTTAGCAAATTGCCTTTAACCAGGAACGTTTGGGTATACAGTCAAAGGGAAATGAGTAACCATGCACTTAACTTTCCGTGCAGATGGATGTTTTTCTGAATTGAGTTCCCTTACGCAATGCATTTCTCTGTGTGACAGATCCCTTATGTAACAGCTTGTTGAAAACCCAGAGGTTCACTGATTATACCGTTTCTCAAACTATTCAGCTCTCTCAGTAACGTTACACTGTGAAGGATTGAAATTACTTGAACGGAAATAACAGGGGAGTGAGTGGAACTGGCCTCGAGCTTTCCACCAAGCATTTTTCTTAAGTTATTAAAGTGGTGATCACGCAATGCCCATTGATTCACCAAGCAGAGGAATAAGCACCAGTCAAAATCTTTCACTATTTATCCTCTCAAAACCCTTTGAACCTTCTCGTTCCAATGATCGAGTTTTTTCCAGTCTTTAACTCTAATCCCCTCATCACTGGTACCATCCCTGTGAATCCACTCTGTCCCTTTTCCATTTGCTTCAATGATCTTTCGGTGCAGTTCCTATTCTACAATGGTTGCATTGTTTCCTTGTGAACGACTGTTTAGCAACACCATATACCAGCTGAGCAACGTAACTGGGATCAACTGTGCCCTTTACGTTCAGAGCACAAAGAGGGAACACAAAACATTCCACCTGGAGCTAAACTCGCACTGTTTTCTTAGTGTTTCAGCACGACCGCAGAGTTTGACCTACAGCAAATGCCGTCTTAATCTCGAGGCCGGTTTCCTTTCAGGAACTGCAGAAAAAGAGGGCTCGGTGGTTAAGGCCGAGTTCAGCAATTTGCCGAACTCTGGGACGCTCTGAAACGCTAAGAAAATAAGCGTAGATCCAGAGCGCGTAGGGATTCCTCCCGCCTCGAGGTGGAGTAAACTGGCTCTGCAGAAAGCGCTCAGGATTTTCAGGTTAGATTGGGGTGTCAATTTGACGGGGTGCCCTGTGTGCAAAAACTTTATTCGGGCTTCAACAGGAGGGCGGTATCCGGGCGGTAATTGGCTATCGTAGCTGTCGCTCATCGGTCAGGGCGGGCTCTGCGCAATGATTGGCTGGTCTGAGCCGTCACTCACCCAGAGGCCAGGCTCTGGAGTGGGAAGCAACGAGTGCCAACAACAACAACGACGACGCCAATCACGGAGAAGTTCAGGAACCATTCCCGATTTCCCGTATAGCCAGTCCGCCCCTCCACGTATATAATTGCGTTGGATATAGCGCCTTATCAAGTTTTCGAGACGCCTCAAAGCGCTTCACAGGATGGACTGTAAAGTGAATTGACTGGGTATATATTTCGTGGCCGAAACGCGGCAGCCAATTGCGCACAGCAGCGTCCCCACAAACAGTCATGGATTGATGCGAGTCTCGTACGCACTTTGCCCGGTAACCGTAGCTTTCCTACTTACCGTGGCCGCTGTCCAAGAAGTCTGTGACGATGGCTGCACTGCAGATCGACCAGGGTTTCGAACGGTTAATGTGGATGAGAGTAGGAGACATCATGTGGTTGTCCTTCAGCTTCCCAAACACATTTTCGCAGGCCTTGACACTGTCGTGTGGCATATTGAACACATGCCCTGAAATGTCACGGACAAAAGAAGAGAAGTGCAATTGAAATTTGCCGTCGTGTAGAGCAGATCCTTATGACTATTCTACAGCAGTTGATCCAATTTGCCGTGCAAAAGTGGTGCAATAGTAAAATTGTGGAGGGGACATCACTAAGTTATACTCGCTGCTGTTACTTATCCTGCTATAACACTGCATTACAACAACTTGCATTTATATAGCGCCCTTCTAGTGGGGTATTGTCCTGGAGCGCTTCACAGTGGTGGAGTCTGACAACGAGACATCATGTGATTGTCCTTCAGCATCCCCAAGACATTTTCACATGCCTTGACACTGCCGTGCGGCACACTCAACACGTACAGTATCTTAACGGAGAGCAGTGCTGCGTCGTTTACCTAGTTCGTGAGCTGTGGTGAAAGCAGATGGGAGCCCATCGTCTTCAATGACAGAGCAGCTTCTCTTGGGGTCACACATGGTGCCCACGTCCGCCATCCCCAACGTGTCACAGGTCTGAGCTCCGCACAAATCCTATAAACAAAGAGGACGCCATCCGTCACAAAGCCCTTCCGCAAAGTCAGCCCAATATAAACGTGAAATGGTCACAATATATAATAATAATCCTTACGGTTGATACAGCATCTTATCACGTCTTCGAGACGTCTCAGAGCGCTTCACAGAATATATTGTGAAGTGAAATACTGTGTATATTTTGTGGGCGAAACGCGGCAGCCAATTGTGCACAGCAGCGTCCCCACAAACAGTCGTGGATTGATTGACCACATTATTATTATATTATTGTAAATGACTGCAAGCGGAAAGTGTAATTGTTACACATAGAAAAAGAAGATCAACCGTCACATCTTACTATGCGATGTAAGAAATACGTCTTATGTTGGGACGTCCTCCTGACCCAAAAGGCGCTATTTGTAAAGGTTAACGATCGCGCGGTATTGTTAAAGAGATTTTGTTGCCGACGTCGACAAAAAAATGAATAAGTCCGTGATGACCTACAACAAGACACTTCATTCAAAAAAAAATAAACCCAGAGTTAAGAGTTGACCTTCGTTGTACGGTGACAAAAACATTTCAGTTTCAGGTAGAGTCAGGCCAAGTCCTAAAAGCATATCTGGCAAGCTGCAACAGCCTGGCTAAACATTCATCACTGATTTCATCATCGCCGTTAGATTACTGGTATTTGCGTTTCATTGTAACTGACTTAACTGAGGGGCCAGGCATTGCATGTTAGGTTTACAGAAAGAGTTGACTTAAATAAGTCACAAAGACACATTTTGGCAGCTGATTCCGGTCATTATGCAGAGCGTGAAGGTAATAGTTCAACTGAACAACTGTAGTTGAACCGGGCAGGTCTGTGCATGCTTACACACGTTTTACAAATTGTCAAGTGCTATAATGAATACACTATAGTGTGTGACAACGACATAATAATAATCCTTACAGTTGGTATAGTGCTTTATCACATTGACAGAATGTCTCAAAGCGCTTCACAAGATTATACATTAGAATACATTGGAATATACAGCACAGAACGGGCCATTCGGCCCAACTGGTCTATGCCGGTGTATTATACTGAAGTGTAGTGACTGTGTATTTTGCAGATGAATGTGGCAAGTCAATTTGGCACATAGAGTTATGAAGGGAATGAGCAGATTTTCTCTGGGGGATTTGGGAGAACACAGGGTAAGATGCAGCAAAAGAATCTTGCGATTGATCCTGTGGGGAATAGGAAGCCAGTGGAACTTTCCTGGGGGTCGGAGGGGTGGGGTGGGGGGGGGGGGTCGGACATAGAGCCTAATGCATCAAAGGATATAGTAACTAACACTGCAACACAGTGAAAAAAATATTTTTTTTCAAGATCAACAGTTTTTGAAATACATCTTGTTCCTCACTCTGGTGTACTTTGTACATTTTCGAAGTATATTCAGTAGGAGACAGTATTAATAAAATGCCTTGTCTGAACCCCAGACAAAATAAACCTTTGCTCTTAAGTGAGCTGTACTTTGAGATGCTTTTATTATGGTAACTCCAACACAGTGAAGATAGAGTTACTAAAGATGCCAAAAAAAATCAGCAAGATTTACTGGTTTGTTTTGAGCTTTCTTTACCAACAAGTGGAGGGCTGTCAATTACCCCTTTAAGCATTTTGATTCAAAGCAGCTGTAGACTTTAGGGGAGATCCATACTTAGAGCTAAATCATGAACAGTGACGAAAGTAATGCAAATGATGGATTGCGTTGCCTTAGTCGGGCTTGTTAGGATGTGAAACCCCAGAAGATTTTTAGGACATGGAATACTTTGCCTGGAACAATGATGGAGGCAGAATCCAGATTTGCTTTTAAAAGGGAATCCAATAATAATAATCTTTGCATTTGATACAGCGCCTTATCACGTCTTCGAGACGTCTCAAAGCGCGTCACAGAATATATTGGAAAGTGGATTGGCTGTATTTTGTGGGAGCAACAAGGCAGCTATCTCTCATCGACTGGTCACAAATGGATTAAGGTCAATTTGGGTGATCTCGTAAACCGCTATGGACCTGCTCCACTGGTTTCATGACAAGATCTCAGAAAAGAATCAGCAAGCGAGGGGAGTCAGCTTGATGATCAGAAAACTACTAGTCAGATGCTAAACATTGGCTTCAGCTCCCCCTGACAAATGCACAAGTTTCCGCCTCTTTATGTATCATTATCCCGGGTGTTACAGAGGCCTGAAATTCCACCTCGTCTTTGCCTGCAAGACCATCTTAAATTTTGAGACTGCCCTGAATTGCGGAAAATTCCCACATTTCGTCTTAATTCTGGTGCCAGTTGTCGGTTAGAACTGTAGCGAAACAGTGGATGAGCCTGTGAGGAAGGCAATCAGGCATTGGAACAAATTGCTGACACAGGCAATGTGCTCACAGTGAAGATTGGTCACTGGGGAGAGGTAACTGAGGTAAGTGGGGCACCCGTTAAAGGAAAAATGAGTCAAATGCCTTTGGCCAAAGAGAGAAAATTGGAGACGAAAAATTGGCAGGAAAACTTTTCCCATAGTTTATGAAGTCACTGACCGACAATAAAAAAAGCCTTACCTTTGATGCAGAACCTTTCACATCAAGAGGGTCAGTACTCAGGATCTCAGTACTCTTTGCAGGAATCACTATACAGTGTAGTGACTGTGTATTTTGGAGGTGTATTGTTACTCTCTGTACACCTCCTTTTGAAGCCCAGAAGTGACACAGTCTGGCCTGTTGTAAGCAACAACAACAACTTGCCCTCCTCGCAGTGTAGCGTCTCAGAGCGCTTAGCAGTGGCGGAGCCTGACTCATTGCGTAAAATAGCCCCGAATGGGCTTTGTTTTGTTTCGCAAGTAGCTTCTACTGGTGGCAAAGCGCAGATTCAATCTGGTTTTAATGACCATTTCCTTTAACAAAGAGGCAAACAGGAGCGGATTTGAAGCGTAACTGATGAAACAAAAATGAGAGTAAGAGCCTTCAGTCTACCTTGTCCGTACTTAACAGGGACCAGGGAAGGGGATTTCAACGATGACAAAAGCACGTTTTGAATTGGTTTAATTGATTAGATGAAAAGTGATGATTTTCGTGACTGAAAAACAGATGTGGTGAAGGCATTTCATGGTGTACAAGTGCTCAAGCTGGTGGGAAACAGACCTGAGCCTAACCTTTGACATCAGGAAGCCCTGTAGGTGATTAATTAGACATCGAGTGCTGGTGCCTTTTGAGTTATTTGTCACAGGACCTTAGGACGTCTCCACAGAGACTAGTAAGAGTTAAAAGAGAATGAGCTGAAAGATAAGACCGGGGATCAATCATTTTGGGACTCCCTGCGTCACAGCCGTGTGTAAGAATAAAGAGAGTTACCACTGTTTATCCCAGCGTACATCAACCTTTGAACTATTTTGCGATGTGACCATATTTTGCAAAGAGCAGAGAGAAATGTTCTTCTTTTTTTAGGTTTGAGGCAAATCTATCAGGAATGTAGCTCGTAAGCAATACAGCAGGCAAAGCAGACCCTGGGAAGCTACTGGATATAAAGCAGAACCCAACGCTGGACTTACACTGATAACACTGCAATCACGTGCCCAGGTTTACTGTAAAACTGATACGCGTTTGCTTCTTTTCAACTGATGGTTACAGTACTCGTGATCTATCAGGAACACGCTTTGTAAAGCACAAGATAAAGACCTCAAATCACTGAGCCCCACATCAAACCCACGCGTTCAAAAGCACAATGACCTTCGATGGCAACGTGCCATTTTTATCATGTTGCAGCTGAGAGAACACCGGTTTCCATGATCAGCAGAGAAATGAATATGAACAGTGGTAGATCGCTCAATGTCAGCGGGAGATTTGAAGGACAAGCGATTTCTAAAAGCACTGAAACATTGGCTCGGGAAAGTTCTTCGCTGACATCTGGTCGAAATTCCGAGAGACAAATGATTCCTAAAGGGAGAGAACTGCTGTTCATCAGTGTGGTACAATTACCGTTCCCCTCTATATTACCACTTGTTATCCACCCTAATCCTGTCACTCCTTCTCCTGGGGTGTGGGTTTAGATATCTTGCTCTGCGTTAGATAACAAGGTGGAGTCCTGTAGCTCCGTGGTTAGAGCGCTCGCCTCGCAAGCGAGAGGACCTGGGTTGGATTCCCGGCAGGGCGAAAGCTAAGATTCCTTACTCCACATGCCTGTGTTTATCTAGCAGTAAGCAGGAACATGGTGGTTAGTCGATTGGTGGATCGCTTGTTTAGGAATAAAAAAATAATAATAATTTGGTCACTCAATCCACGACTGTTGGCGGGGACGCTGCTGTGTGCAATTGGCTGCCGTGATTCGCCCACAAACTATACAGTCAATTCACTTTGCAGTATGTTCCGTGAAGAGCTTTGAGACGTCTCGAAGACGTGATAAGGCGCTACATCAAATGCAAGGATTATTATTAGAACAGACGTTAAAGTCAAGATGTATCATTTAGAAATTATTGCTCAGTTTGGGGGGGTTCGGGGGGGGGGGGGGGGTGGGTAGTCACCGGAGGAAAGGATTCAGATGGGTGGGATTTAGATCAGTTTCAACAAACGGAAGGGAAATGTGAAAATGTTGAACACATTTTTTTTTGAAGATGAATAGGATTTGGCCCAGTCAGGATTTGCCATCTCTGTGTGTTTTTTTTCTTCTCTTGGCCAAGGTTCACGTTTCTTACAAAGGAAGATTTTTGCTGTTGTATTGGAAATTGGAGCCTGAACTGAACAAGTCGACCACGTTCAAACCAGCTCAAATTTCCTCACCGGATAAGTGCTCCCCATCCCTGCGACCTGTAACATATTAAACTGGCAGGAAATGTGATATTTCCTCAGCATAAATCCTTCCTCCCAGACGCAGATCCCATTCCCGACCAGAAGCACGTTACACTGGCATCATTAAGGAAGGTGGCATTGGAAATTTCTGCCGGATGATAGAAACATAAAGCCGGAAACAAAACGATTTACAGCTCGATCAAATTGGAAAGGGTGTCAT